CTAGATCATTAATGTATAAAGTGAAATGTTGTGGTCCCAGCACTGCCCCTTGTGGAACTCCACTAGTCACCGGCTGCCATCCTGAGAAAGACCCTTTTAACCCCATTCTCTGCTTTCTGCTAGACAGCCAATCTTCTATCCATGCTAGCACCTTGCCTCTAACACCACGGGCCCTTATCTTACTCAGCAGCCTCCTGTGCAGCACCTTGTCAAAGCCCTTCTTGAAGTCCTGGTAGATAACAACCATTGGCTCTCCTTGGTCTAATCTGCTCATTACTTCCAGAAAGAATTCTGACAGATTTGTTAGGCATGAACTTTGCTTGATGAAGCCATGCTGACTTTGCCCTATGATACCATGCACTTCCAAGTATTCAGAAATCTCATCCTTCACAATGAACTCCAAAATCTTACCCATGACCGAGGTTAGGCTAATCGGCCTGTAATTTTCAGTCCTTAAGCAGGAGTGCCGCGATAGTGATTTTCCAGTCCTCTGGGACCCTCCCTGACTCTAGTGATTCCTGAAAGATCACCACTAATGCCTCCACTATCTCTTGAGCTGTCTCCTTCAGAACTCCGGGTTGTAGTCTATTTGGTTCTGGTGATTTATCCACCTTCAGGCCATTCAGTTTTTCTAGCATCTTCTCCTTGTTGATGGCCACGATACTCAGGTCTGCCCCGTCTCTCTTGAATTTTTGAGATATTACTTGTGTCTTCCACTGTGAAGACTGCCGCAAAATCATTATTCAGTTCCTCAGCCATTTCCTTGTTCCCCATTATTATCTCTCCAGCGTCATTTTCCAGCAGTCCAATGTCCACTTTTGCCTCTCTTTTTCCCTTTATATGTCTAAGGAAGCCCTTACAGTCTTCTTTTATATTACTGGCTAGCTTACCTTCATATTTAATCTTGTCCCTCCTTATTTTTTTGTCACCCCCTGTGGTCTTTGTAAGCTTCCTAATCCTCTGATTTCCCACTGCCCTTTGCCACATTATATGCTTTCTCTTTTGCTTTTATGCTGTCTCTGACTTCCCTAGTCAGCCATGGTTGCCTCATTGTCCTGTACAATGCTCCTTTCTCCTAGGGATGAATTTTTGCTGTGTCTCCTAAATTACTCCTAGAAACTCCTACCTTTGCTACTCCACTATCTTTCCTGCAAGGCTTCTCTCCCAGTCAATTCTGTCCAGCTCTTCCCTCGTGCCTCTGTAGTTGTCTTTATTCAGCTGTAATACTATTGCCTCTGATTCTATCTTCTCCCTCTCAATCTTCAGAATAAATTCAGTCATATTATGATCATTGCCTCCTAAGAGTTCCTTCACCTTAAGCTCCCTTATCAAGTCTGCCTCATTGCATAACACTAAATCGAGAATTGCCTGTTCCCTAGTATGCTCCACCACAAGCTGCTCCAAGACGCCATCTCGTATACGTTCCACAAATTCCTTTTCTTGCAATCCTGTACCAACCTGATTTTCCCAGTTCATCTGCAAGTTGAAATCCCCGATGATCGCTGTACCTTTGCCTTTCTTACACACCTTTTCTATCTCCTGGTATATCTTGTGCCCCAGCTCCTGACTACTGTTTGGAGGCCTGTACATAAGTCCAACTATTTTTTTTTAACTTTGCGGTTCCTCAACTCTACCCACAGACATTCTACACCATCTGACCCTATTTCCTTTCTTCCTATTGATTTAATTTCATTGTTTACCAATAAGACAATCCCACACCCTCAGCCCACCTGCCTATCTTTTCGATAGGATGTGTATCCTTGGATATTCAGCTCCCAATCCTGATCCCTTGCAGTCACATCTCAGTGATGCCCACCACATCATACCTGCCAATTTCGATCAGCGCCACAAGCTCATTTGCCTTCATCCTTATCCGATGAGCAATCAGATATAACGCTTTCAGTCCTGCCTTAACTGTCCCTCTTCTCATTCTCATTCGTTTGTTCAGTGTGCTTGAAGTTTAATCCCTCGCCCTTTCCAAACACTCTGTCCTATTTGTGTCTGTGCTGGAGACTTTAATAACCTCTTCTGAATTCTCCTTTCCTGTCTTATCTTTCATATTTTGCCACACAGTTGAATCCACCCCCACAGATGTTAGCCTGCTGCTTTGTTCCCCACTGGGGAATGTTTTACCCTTCCCTACCCCCCGCCCTTCCCACTTTGTAGTTTAAAGTCCTGTTGGCCAGCCTATTTACCCTTTTCGCTAGAACATTGGTCCTAGCTCAGTTCAGGTGAAGACCGTTCCAGTGGTACAGATCCCTCCTGCACCAATACTGATGCCAGTGCTCCTGAAAAGGAACCCTCTTTCCCACACCACTCTCTTAGCCATTTGTTTAGATCCCTTATTCTTGTATCCCTATGCCAATTTGCATGTGCCTCGGGCAGTAATCTGGAGATTATAATCCTTGAGGACCTGTTCTTTAATTTGGTTTCTAGCTCCTGATAATCCCTGAATAGGTCCTATTTCCTCGCCTTGCCTATGTTGTTTCCTCCCCCTCCCTCTCTAATATCCTTTCTAGCTGGTCAGAGATATCCCTTACCCTGGCACTGGGTGGGCAACAAACCATGTGAGACTCTTGATCCTGCTTACAAAGCATACCCTCTATTCCCCCTAATTATAGAATCCTCTACAACTGCCACTTGTCTTTTTTGCTTCCCTCTTGAATGGCCTCCCATGCCACGGTGCAATGATCAGATGGCTCATCCTCCCTGCAGTCCTTTACCTCATCCTCACAGGGAGCAAGTACCTCGTACCTGTTGGACAAGGTCAAGAGCTGAGGCTCCTCTGTTGCTGATCCCTCTACCTGCCTCGCTTGCAGTCACCCCCATCTGTGCCTGGCCCACTGATCAAACTTGAAGTACTTAATCAACCAGGTGTGACTGCCTCCTGAAACGCAGCGTCCAGGTACTTCTCCCCCTCCCGGATGTGCCGCAGTGTCTGAAGCTCAGATTCCAGCTCATCAATTCTGAGCCGAAGTTCCTCAAGCAACCAACAGTTGATGCACATGTGGTCACTGCAGTTCTCAATGGGATCAGCCAGATCGCACCTCGTACAGCTACAACACGTCACCTGTCCAGCCATCTCTACTTGTTAATTACTTCAACTCATTATAAGAAAAATTGAATAAATTAATAATAGGATTTATTGATGCTTCTTTGCTGTGTTCTTTTTCAAATTTAGTGCAGATTTCCTAACAGCCAATCAGGTCACAGCCTCCCTGTGACGTCAGTCCAGATTTTTTGCAGCTGCAGTGCCCCGAGCTCCTGTAGGTTTAGACTCACTGTGCTGCTCCTCCGCCCTCCAACAGCTTCCCGCCAACTAGGCTGCGATCCACGAGCTCTGGTAGGTTTATACTCATTTTGTGCTGCTCCTCCACCCTCTGACAGCTTCCCGCCGACTGGCAGACAGGGCACAGAATTCCAGCTGAGGCTGAACTTGTGTCCTGTATAAATTCAGCATAATCTCCTTGCTCTTTTTTTCTATGCCATTCTTAATAAAGCTTAATAGATGACACTCTTTGCTTCATCACATAGTCTCTCAGTTTGTCCCTACCACTTTCAGTCAGGTCCCTCTTCTCCTGCGCACCCTTATATTGTCTCTCCGTGTTCATCCTACCACAATTAATTACTTCACATCTCCCTCTGCCACTTGTTCCCCCACTTCCTATGTCCTTTTCAGGTTCGACACTATCCTCACAGTTGATGGTGAATCTACTTTTTGTATCACACACAGATTTGAAATTGTGCCTTAAGTCTTGGTCATTAATGTATATCAGGAAAAACATGGGTCCCAAAGTGATCCCTTGGAAACTCCACTTCAAATCTTTCTCCAGCCCAAAAAGCATCGATTAACCACCACTTTCTAGTTTCTTGTCACTCAGCCAATTCCATATTCATCTTCTAATGTCCCTTTCATTCCATAAGCTGTAATTTTGCTCACATGTCTTTTGAGGAACACTGTATCGAACACCTTCTGGAAGTCCATGTACACCATATTGACTACATTGCTATCATAACCCTCACTGTTACCACTTCAAAAAACTCCAGTGAATTAAATATGATTTTCTCTTTTAAAAAATCTATGCTGGCTTTCATTACATATTAATACTTGTCCATCTGCTCATTAATTTTGTCCAGAATCATTGTTTCTCAAACTTTCCCCAGCACAAAGTTAAACTTGTAATTCAGTTTTGGGTGGGGTTGAATGAGAGAAATGTTAAATTGCTTGACACTGTAATGTTCCTTATTCCAATTGCAGTAGCCCTGCCCGTGTTTTCAACCTTTTGTTGACTTGGCAACAGCTTGGAATGGTTTTAGTTTTGATTGATCTTCCTCGAAGAGTATGAGTTTCATGGCTACCGGTTCTGACCAAAGAAATAATACCATGTGTTCAGAATGAGGACTTCCCTTTTATGGCTGTACAGTGGTGCATATTTTAACATTTTGAAGTGATTTCCCATATTTAATCCTTTTCTTTGTGAATATTTGAACCTCCTCCAAAGCGTAAGGAAAACTGTTAACACTATTGACTATTGCAGTTTGAACCCTCTGGTTTTCTTGTGTAATATTTAAATTAATTTCATACGATGCTTCAGAACCTGCAACTACTAGTTATAATTTTGCTTGAAAACAAAATTTTTGAAACATAATTTGAACTTGTTGTAATAAATAATGCAGATAATTAAATTATTAGAAAATATCTTTTGGTAGCCATGAATAAACAGTTAGCTGGCTGGACAATTGTCTCAAAATTATTTTTGGAGCAGACCTGAAAGATGGAAGCAATATGTTCTGAGTAGGAACATTTTATATACTATGCACAGTGCTGTGGCCCTGGAGACACAGTCAAAACAGAAGTAGAAGCACTTGAGATCATTGGGCAGTTTTAAATTGCCGTTGAATTATTTCTTCAACTGGAGTCATTTTGGACTGGATGACAGGAAGATATTTTATAAGCAAAACCCACCATCGGCGATTTTCCTTTCCTTTTTGTTTTACAGGAAAAGGAAGGAGTGGAAGGAGTCTCAGTTGGTGCCATTCTTTCGGACTATCAGCGGGTCAGAGTGGAAAATGTGTAAGCCCATTGTAAATTTGTTCAATTAATTCACTGTTAAACCATATTTAATTCACTGGGTGAATTAGATTGATCTTATTCACTCCTGGATTCACAAAACAAAGTCTGATCTGCACATTGAGAAAGAACAACGTATTCCCTTTAGGGATTTGGTTATTGAAGCAACTATTGGAATAAAATCATGAAAGCAGCAGCAAGCCATTTATAATTTTTTTAAAAATAAAATTGATTCGCAACATTTTCAAAACACTTTCATAGTTACACTCAAAATGGCATTGACGTTACAAAAGCCAAATTCTTCTAGAAATCTGAAACAAAATGAGAAGACGGAAGAAATGGCAGGACTTAAACATTTAATGGTAGTGTTCTGGGGAGTGTTGCCGCACAAAGAGACCTGGGGGAGGCAAAGCAGGTTCACAGTTCCTTGAAAGCACTGTCAGAGGTAGGCAGGGTAGTGAAGAAGGTATTTGGTACACTTGCCTTTATTGGGTGCATTGAGTATAGGAATTGGGAGGTCATCTTGCAGCTGTACGGGACATTGGTTAAACCAGGTTTGGAAAACTGTTCAGTTCTGGTCTCCCTGCTATAGGAAAGATGTTAAACTTGAAAGGATGCCGAAAAGATTTTCAAGGATGTTGCCAGGACTAGAGGGTTTGAGCAATAGGTAGAGGCTGATTAGGCTGGGGCTATTTTCTCTCAAGAGTGGGAGCTTGAAGGGGTTACCTTATAAAAGTTTATAAGGAGGGGCGTGGATAGGATGAATTGCCAAAGCCTCTTTCCATGATATAGGAGCCCAAAAATAGAGGGCATATGTTTAAATTGAGAGGGGAAAGATTTAAAAGAGACCTAAGGGGCAACTTTTTGATGCAGAGGGTGGTACATGCATGGAATGAGCTATCAGAGGAAGTGGTGGTACAATTGCGACATTTAAAAGGCATCTGGATGTGTACATGAATACGAAGAGTTTAGAGGGATATGCGCCAAATGCTGGCAAAAGGGACTTGATTAATTCAGGCTACCTGGTTGGCATGAATGGGTTGTACCAAGGGGTCTGTTTCCATGATGTACAATTCAATGACTCTATGACTCTATGACTCTAAATACTCAGCAGGTCTGGCAACAACTGTGTATGATACAACCTCAAGCAATAATTCTGTTCTTCTTACCACACCCTGTGATTAAAAAGTTGTGTCAAAAACTTGAAGGTGAGTGTGAAATTTACAAAATGCTGATGGGGCTAACAGTTAAAAGTAGGAACAAGATAAATTGTCTCTGTGTGATTTACCTCCGCAGTCATGGACAGCTCTGAAATCATAGTATTTCTTCCTGACCTTTGTATCTATTTTTCAGTTGAGATCAAGATGCTGACCAGGACTCTCACTTTGTGATGATCAAAAATTCAAAACCTCTATAGAAGCAGTGGGAACATGTGTAAGAAGATGCCTATAAATTGAAAGTTCCACTGTCAAGTGCATTGCCATTCTTTTGTGTACACTGGGTTGGAGGCTTGCCATATGTTATTGCACAATGAGACACATTATTCTTGTCATCCTGCTGTTGCTTTTTGCTTCCATTTCAAAGAAAGCCCAAAATAATCTAACCTTCTGAGGAAGGATCACCAGACCCGAAATATTAACTCTAATTCTTCTTCACAGATGCTGCCAGACCTGCTGAGCTTTGCCAGCAATTTCTGTTTTTGTTTCTGACTTACAGCGTCAGTAGTTCTTTTGGTTTCCATCATAAGCTATGTTCCATTGAGTGCAGAAATCACAAAGCATTCTGGACCTGCTTTCAGATTGTCCAACAGCCATTAGTATTGTCACCACCCAGTGCCCGATCCTCCCGTTGTTCATCTTGAACATTGCTACTTTTTCTTAAAATCTGTGAAGATTCCCGTCCAATTGCTCTTCTTGTTTATGCTGCATTTAAATTTTGGCAAATCAATGACTCCCTGTCGAGAGAGAGAATGCGGTGCATTGCTGGTTGCAAAAGTATATTATTTCTATTTGTTTGTGGAATGTGAGTGTTGCTGGCTGGCCAGTATTTATTTCCCGTTCCTAGTTGCCCTTGAGAAGGTGGGTTGACCAACAGTGTCATTAGGGAGGGAATTTTAGGATTTTGACCCAGCGAAAATATATTTCCTTGTCAGGATGGTGAGTAGCTTGGAAGGGAACTTGAAGGTGGTGGTGTTCCCATGTATCTGCTGCCCTTGTCCTTCTCGATGGAAGTGGTTGTGGGTTTGGAAGATGCTGTCTGAAGAACTTTGGTGCATTTCTGCAGTGCATATTGTACATTTTACACACTGCTGCTACTGAGCAAATAACTATACTTATACACATTACAATATCAGTGCTTGCCTATGTTGCAGTCTTGTACATGGATGGATTTCTAGGACATGTTATTAAATATTTTGCATATACCATTATTTATTTGTTGTTCAATTGCCTTATGTACCCCTGCACTTCTCCAAAAAAACTAACAAGAAATTATGCATGTGGGACAGGGTGAATCCAACTACTATTCAATCCTATGGCCTCTGATTGTGTGCCAATTTTACATCAAAACATGGGAGCAATAATATTTAGACAATATTATTTGACTAATGGGAATTGTTTCTTGCAGTATATTGGCTTCCTACAGTAGCATGCATGTTGTAACTATTGTTTGTTAATTTATTTTGTGCAAACTTGTTTGCTCCATATTTATTGGTGTCATTTTGTGTCAGAACAACTTTTTATGCAGGATTTTTTTGTTTGTAATTCAAGCTTGTTAGTGTCTTACTTTGTTACTTCATTGTAATCATAGAATGATTGCAACATAAGATGCCATTTGGCCCATCAAGCTGATATTGGCTGTTTACAAGAGCTTTTTAGCTAGCGCCCCTGTCCTGCCAAATATGTGATTTATATCTTGCCGTTGCTATTTAGGCTTGTGTAAGTCTTTTTTCCTCCCTTCCACACAGATCCTCCTACTATTCCCACACCTACATCATCCTTTTCAAGTCCTTCACCACTAAATATGCCCTTGCAGTACTCCATTGCAGAGCATGAGATCTTGTCTTACCCAGATAGTAAAATAAAATTTTCTGCTTTGGCGTTGAGTGATTGAAGTTTGGGAGAGTAATAAAACACAGCGTGGCCAACAAAGATTTCAACATTTATTCCACTTAAATGACTTGTTTGTTGCTTGAGGATTGTTGAAAGTCCTGTTGAAGTGTTGCTTTATGAATGAGAAATTTTTTCCTTCTTTTACTAACAGCTTTAAAATTTCACATTTCATTGATTTCTTTGAATTTCCTTTCCATTTCAGGATTTTGCAATTTCTTGTCTTTCGGTCCCTTGATATTGAATATTTCTAACTTCCACAAAATTAAAATTGCACTGTGTTGAAAAAAGTGTATAACTCCAAAATACTCTGTTTTAGTTTAGTATTTCATTTGGGGTTATGCACACACGATCTCTCCACTGGTCAGACCTGTTTGAAATACATGCGAACTTTCGATTTTTATTAGATAAATGACTTTGTGTTATTAAGATACTGATTGTGAATTAATGTTCTTTTTTTTAACCACATAATTAGTTTAAGAATGAGAGAGAAAATTTCAGGATAAGAGTGACCCTTACATTGATTTGATTCTTGAGAATAAATTCCTTATGCTTGGGGGTGGAGGAAAGGAATTACTTAAAAAGATCGGTCTGACAGAGTGTGTTGAGTAACTGTGATAGAAGTGAGATTGGTATTTTGAATGGTTCTTTAAATCCTTCAAATGCGGATGCTCTGAAGCATTATGAAATGAGGCGTTAACTCCATGTAAATTCAACATCCACATGTTGTGATAAACTTAATTTTATCATGTAACATTTATATTCTCTCTGAATAAACCACAAATTTGGTATAGGAGTAACTCATTTGGTTCCATTCATTGGGTAGGAAGGGTTTTCGTTTATATGCTCATTAGAATTTGAATAGTAAACTGCACAAATGAATGAGTGGATATAAAGAATCTGCAAAGGGATATAGGTGGATGAAGTGAGTGAGCACAAAAATTTGGCAGATGGACTATAATATTGTAAGGTGTAAGGTAATCTACCTTGGCAGGAAGAAGAGAAAAGCAGAACACTATCCAAATGTGTGAGTGGCAACCCAGCGAATGCTCAGTAGGCTACTTCTTGGGATGAGTGTTTGGGCTTATAAGGAAAAGTGATCAGCTTGGGCCTGTACTAACTGGAATTTAGAAGAATGAGTGTGGATCTTATTGAAAGAGAGAGAGATATAATATGATTTTGAGGGGGCTTTATAAGGAAATGCTGCAAGAACGTTTCCCTTCATGGGGGGGATCTACTACAGGGCGTGCACAGTTTAAGAGTAAGGGATCTCCCATTTAGTACAGAATGTAATTAATCTTTATCAATTACCAGTATCACTGTTCTAATGTTTATTCTATTATATGTTGCAAAGCTAGAAATATTTAGCAAGTACTTAATATTGCTTAGTTCTGTATCAGGAATGTGAATCAAGTGGATGTGATATCAAATGCTTTTCAAATATCAGAGAAAAATACAAATCAACATTTTAAAATAAAACTGTAAAAAGATCTACCATAGATTAACACATTTGAGCATACAACAATTTGGAGAGATAAAGGAAAGGCATAATATTGGAAAATTACTTCTGAGCTCTGCCCTTCTTACCGAGTCTGACTTACACTTACCTCCAGATTCAGAGCAGTGTGGTTGACTTTTAAATGTTCTCACAAGCCACTCAGTTGTACCAAACTGCGTAGTAACTGTGGGTGTCATTACACCGCATGGGTTGCAGTGGTCCAAAACAGCAGTTTGCAACCACCTTACGAAAGGGAACTGGGGATGGGCAATAATGCTGGTCTAGCCAGCAATGTTGACGTGCCATGAATCAATAAATTAAAAAAAATAATATTTCCATGTTTAAATCAGAGCTACGAAATATCTAAATGAAAGTCCAAGAGGATAAAATGCCTTACTTTAGGTGGGTTACGTCTGCACATTTTGAAATAATCTAGGGAAGAGACACAGCTATGCATGTTTAAAAAATTGCTGAGATTAATATGCAGTGCCAGAGATAGCTAATGTTATGCCCATATTCAAGAAGGGAAACAGAACATGTTCAGCGATGCACAGGCCAATTAACTTGACACTGATTGCAGGAAAAATAATGGAATTTCTGCTAGAGAATAAAATAGAAAAGCTTGAGAGGGTACAAGAAAAAATTTACAAAGATAATGAGATAGCTGCCAAGTTATACCTATTGAGAAAGTATGAACACCCTGGATCTCTTTTCTCTTAATGGTTGAGGGGTGACAAAGATCTTTTAAATTGTGGGTGGTTTTAATAGAATGGGCACAGAGAAAATGTTTTGACTTCTGAAAGAGAGTAAATTTAAAGACTATCAATACAGATGATTACCAAGAAATGCAGTTGGGAATTCAAAGAAACTTCTTTACTGAAGAAGTGAATGTAGTATAGGTGTATTTAAGGGAAAATTAGATAGAAATGTAGAGACTTGAGGGACAGTTAGGTGAGGAATGTTGAACTCCTGGGCCAAATAACCTCTTTCTGTATATTTCATGTCACATTTCAGTGTGACACTGTAACCAGTTAATAAGAATTGCATAAGTGAGAACTAGGGTGATTCTCATTCCAGCTTTTCTTCTTTTGAAAAGAAGCTACCCATACTTGGTTATGTTCTCAAAATTGTAAGTACTTCACATAATAAATTTTGGGAGGGAGACTAGCTCTTAACATTCTGTGGCATTACATAAGGCAATTGTATCCATTTCAGTTGTACAATCACTTCATATTTGTTTGGAAGTTTTTCTACATACTCAGAAGCTAATTAATTAATTTATAATGTTGAAATGAATGCTTTGTGAATTCATTTTTGTTAAATCATAGCCTCATGTGTTTTTATGATTTTAGTTCCAGGATACAGTTCACAACCTGAACTACTCCTGTACCGTGAAAGTAATCAGGGTTAAAAAATTTAGCTGAAATTGTATCAGGAGTTTTGAAATATATCCAGTTTAAATACTTTTTTTTCCCCTTTCACAGGTGCAGACGGCTTAATCTTCAGCCTTTGGCTTACCTCTGGCGTCGAAACCAGGAAGATCTGCTGAGAGAAATGATATTGTCTAATGTTCAAGCCATGATAATCAAAGTCGCAGCTTTTGGTAGGTATCCAGGCTGCATGGGAGCAGTCTATTAACACAACATAATCCCAGTTCTTTGTATAACCACAACCTGCAAATGAGCAGCTGTCAAATATCAGAGAAAAAGTTCAAATCATCAATCATTTTTTTATAAAACTGTAAGGAGATCTGCCAGAGGCAAACACATTTGAGCACAAAACAATTTGGAGAGATAAGGAAAAAAGCAGGATGTTGGAAAATGACTGCCAGAGGTAGGTAATTACTTTTAAATGCCTTTAATCAAACCTGTCAATATCCCATGTTATTAGACAGTTTAAGAAGCAGAAGGAGAAGAATTTTATTAGTCTGCATTCCTTTAAAAATAGTAAACAGAAAGTAACTTGAAATCGATATGTCTGCTGCACAGATTAATGAGTCTTTAAAGAAAAATGTGATCATGTTGTATTTAATAAACCACATTGCGTTTTTTTTATGTTCGTTCGTATTTATTGAGAAGACTGCCTTTTTATACATTGAAGTGAATGGCTTGTAGGCTGTTTCATTTCGTAATTTGCTGTCGGGTTTTTTTTTATATTTGCTTCAGGATGAAGATTAATGCTGTTAAAAGGCGTTTCCACAAAACCCAATTTCTCTTAAAAATTTATTCTTATTCTCGAAATTCTTAGCACTGTTTCTTTCCTCAGAGTTAAGCTTATAATAATTTGCTAGGTTTGCCGGTAACTCTACAACTGCAATGAAAACCTACTACAAGCAATGAAGGGTATTGTATGGCACACATACTTAAATAAATATTATTCTTTAGCTTATTTTGTTTGTTAATAGAGTGTTGTCTCAGCAGAAAAAAATTGTTTTGCTCTTGTGTTTGCTTCTGTCACAATATTCATATTATTGCTAATTCACCTCAAAGTAATGACCATTTTGAATGAAGAAAATATTGCATTACTGTAGTTATCGATTGTTGATCTGTGTCATGTGATACAGTCGATACGCATTTAAAGGCAGTGCTATAATAAAAGAATGACCCTCTGCGACTCTGATTCCTCACTTATGCATGAGTTATCATAGAGACTGGAACAGGCCTTTCAAGGTCTTGAGCTTGATCTTCTTCACAACTTACAAGCAATGGCTCATCACTGTTTTATTTCTTAAGTCCTGTGGCTTGAATTCACTTTCAAAACAGTAGAAAGAAACGTTATTACACAGGCATCACCTGTAACTTAATTGTTTACATACAAGCTGAGAATTCCTCTTTGAGTGCCAAATTTTTAACAGCAATTGTATACTACCCTTTATAGACATTCCATACTAAGTTCATTAAGTTTTCAGGAGGTATCAGGAATATACAATTCAAGAGGGGTCACACAACTTTTCAATATGAGGAAGGTAGCTGGCCAACATAATTTATGAATTGAACTTTTACTTTTATGTTTGTTCAGACCTGAAAGCACTTTATTTCCATACAAAGGTACAACAATGTCCCTGACTTTAATCCATCGTACTGATCTTGCATCTGAAATAAGGACTACTGGTTAATGAAGCAAAAATTCAACGGTTGATTTACTAATCAATGAATACTTATCTACTTCTTTAGTGATTTACAAATAAATGTTCCTTATTCAATTTTTTTTTATTTTGTCAGCATTTGTATGACTTGCCCATATTCAATGCAGAGAGTTAGCACTGACATTCTGTCAGTTCTAGCCTTTGTATTCTAAGTCCACCTTGCTGTGTATAGTCAAATCTGTTATTGTTCTTTTGCCCTATCTGCTTAGTCCTTGTTTCGGTAGATGAAAGTAAGTTCTGGCCATAGTTAATTTTGAGTGTCAGTCTGAATCCTACCCCTTGAAGACACACTACTTCATCACACTAACCTGAGTTGCCACCAGTTCATCTCTCTTCTTAAGATTACTTTGATAGTGTGCAGAGTTCCACTGTGAAAATGGTGAGTTATTCTAAAACAGAACTTCTCATATCAAGTTTGAATCATAAGGGAAGTGAGATTAAAAAGGGTTACAAGGCAGAACTTCATTTTATGGCCACAATTGCAATTCAGACAATTGCAGAAATCTATGATTGACTACTCAAGCTGTCAACCAACTGCTCTTCATGTTATCTAGACTTCAAGTTTATTTAACTGATAATAAAATGATATATGTATATATAATATAGTGGAGTTTTGACTATAACTAGCACTGCAAATGCTCTGAACATGACTAAACTAATATTGGAGCAGTTTTTTAGCAGTCTCCTTTATTTGTTTTGGTGCAAAGTTTCATTTTGAAGTAACCATTTCCAAAGCAGAAATGTAATCACTGTAAAGTAAGCTGGCAGAAATGACATTGGTGGTGACCTGAATCATCCCCGTGGCTAAACAAACCTGTTGTCTATGACTAGCTCATATTGTAAAAAGCCAGACCGAGTTGGTCACAGACAAAGATTCCTTTGTTGAATAGACACTTCGAGCCCAAATAGTTCCAGATAGTAATTAAATAGAAAATTACTGCTGGTTTTTTGGCTTTAGGCAGTGTTAGATATTATCTGATTTGGTTTCTCACCTGTCTGGAGCAGCAGTAATTGTGCAAAAGCAAACTTGGATCCTTTGAGCTCAGCTGTAATTACGCAATGGCAGAGTAATTTGATTTTCTTTAAGCAGATTTGGTACCTGAAGATATTTGTTTAATGTGTCAGATTGTGGAGGACTGAAGTTTATTGGTTTAAAGTTGGAAAATATAGATGTCAAATATGCTAAATTGTTGCGAATATATTTCAGATTGTCATAGTGATCTGCTAATTTCTCCATGCTTTGCAGGCTTTTAATTTTAAATGAAAATGGCGCAATATAGCTGATCTCTGAATCTGACAAAGCTGCTATCCTTGTCCTGTTTCTGAGCACAAGTGTGAAAACACAATGTTGTGTTATTTGACTTTGGCTCAGAATGTTAGTGTACAATTGCCCCCAAAGAAGAAATATTGATTTAATTTAAGTTAAACTTCTTTCAGTTTAAGTTTAGAATATGTTATTAGCAGTACTTCTTGGAGGAGGTGCCTGTGGCACTGATCGTGAGGTGCACTTGTTGACTTGCTCGCCGAGCTGGTAAGTTTGTTTGCAAACGTTTCATCATGATAGGAGGTAACATTGTCAGTGCGCCTCCAGTGAAGCGTCGCTGTTTTGTCCTGCTTGCTATTTATGTGTCTCGGTTTGCTGGGGTGGGTGACATCACTTCCGGATTTGATTCTTAGTGGTTGATATATTGGTCCAGCTCTACATGTTTGTTAATGGAGTTTCAGTTTGAGTGCCAGGTCTCCAGGAATTCTCATGCGTATCTATGCTTGGCTAGTCCTAGGATGGCTACATTGTCCTAGTCGAATTGGTGTCCCTCTTTGTCCATGTGTATTGAAATGAGTGATACTTGGTCATGTCTCTTGGTAGCTAGTTGGCATTCATGAATCCTGATGGCTAGTTTCCTTTCAGTTTGCCCTGTGTAATATTTTTGGCAGTCTTTGCATGGTATCTTATAAATAACAAATCTGGAAGTTATACCATCCACCCCAACAAACCATGACTCATGAATAGCAAGCGGGACAGACCACCGCAATTCACCGGAGATGCACTGATGATGTTACTTAGTATGGTGACGAAATGTTTGCGAATAAACTTACCAGCTCGGCAAGCAAGTCAAAAACCGCATCACCAACCCGAGCTGCAAATCTTCTCAAAGACCTTGAACTGATTGTGAGGTGGTATCCCTATTGGTCCAATTAACCTAAGCCCTACACATTTGCACTCATGAGGCTAAATGGACATTTTGTTTTCATACTTGAGCTAAATTTTCAGAGAGATATTCAAATTTAAGCCTGCTGGGCTTTTTTTTATTGGAATATATGAATATTTTACGGGACATTATATACATTTTAATGTCATTTAGAATTGATGGAATAATGGTTACAAATGTAGGTTTTACATAGGTTTTGATAGCAATTTGCACAACACAAGAATTTTATATAATAATTAAGCAAAAAGACAAAGGTTGGGGAGTTCATTGCCAATTAAAATGATTTTTGTACAAAGAAATTCATTTTCTTGTGGCGGGAGTGAGACAACTAAGCTGTGCAATTCAAAACAACATAATTTGAATGGGATCATGCTGTTTCTTTACTCAATAATGACAAATTTAGCAACATATTCAATTTTCTAAATTCTCCTCAAATAATCGTGAGGTTAATTGTTGACTGCTGGTATAACCATTGATGAAACTAAAGATAACAGATGCTGAAATGGCCCTATTAATATTATGAGAGAAGGTGATTTTGAAAACTTATGATCTTTAAACGGAGAAGTAGAATGTAATGGCAGTTTTGCCATGTGAACTCTTTTTGTTTGGGATTTTCATTAAAGATACTTTCTAATTAACCTGACAAGAAATGTACTTTCACACCGCTGCAGCAGGTGAGTCTTCAACCAAGGCCTCCTGTCTCAGAGGTAGAGACAAAACCGCAGTGCCAGAAAAACTTTGATTTTCATTTTTGTTTTAAATTGAACCTATTTTTCCTAATCAACCTGTTATTACACATCTCTGGAGCAGGAGGAACTTGAAACCTGACCTATCGGTTCAGGGGTGGAGTCACTACCCCTTCGCCACAAGAGGGCTTTTAATTTTAATTTAAGCTAATATGATTAAATTAAAATCACCCTGTAGATGTTATCTAAATTGAATGTCCAATGAAGGAAAAATCAAATAAATTTTTGTTTCAGTTGTGCTGAATAGCTGTACTTGTGATCTTTAAAAATGTTGTCAAATAAGCAGGCTGTTCTAAGTTCTCTATTTTGTAATGCTTATCTGGATAACCAGCCCTTGATTAGAAGTAAAACAACATTTATTGTTTTTTTTTCCAACTGGTCATGATGTATACACAATTATGCTTTTGACAATCAGAGAGGTTTTCTGGAAAAGGTTTCAACCTTTGAAGCATTCATTTCTTTGGATTGCCTTGCCAAAAACATTCCTCAGTTTGAAATAGTT